ATTCTACTTAAATTTAGTTTTGGAGAAATTATTTAATTCTTATTGGTATTTTATTTTGTAAGAAAATTAGGTTATAGTAAACTTTATATAAATGTGATAGACCCCAAGAGTTAAAAATACAGTACAAATATAGTAACATGGTAAATATAAAGTAATTAGTGACTGTTGAGAACATGGATGCATGATAGTCCCAAATTACCTACACTTGTCCTACCCAAAAGAAAAAAAAATTATATATATATATGTATATATATGTATATGTATATGTATATGTATATGTATATATGTATGTATCTAAAGAAAAATCATGATGACAACTTATACCAAAAATGGCCTCCATCATATGCCATTGCTAATCCCTATGGTGATTAACATTAATTTAATCTTACAAATTAAAGTTTATTAATTAAAGATTAATTATGTAAATTTTTTATTTTTTTTTTTCAAATTGGTATTTTTTCTATAACAATTCAATATAATGAATTAACATTTAATTAATTGAAAAATTATTTCTTTAAAATACAAATTAGTAATTAATAGTTTATTTCTTAAAAATAATTATGTTTAAAATCTTACATAATTAATTAAAATTTCAAGATCTTATAATACTTTAATTTGAAAAAAATAAAGGTACAGAAACAATTACAAGTAGACAAAGGCAAATGTCCTCTCTGTCAGTGACATGAGGTGTCAATTTGATTAAAGAATCTTTTGGGTGTGCTTATTCACCTCACTCTCCCTCTCCCTCTCACCCTCTCTTTGATCTATTCTCCTTTCTTTTATTATAAGTATAATTATTATATATATATATATATATATATATTTGTATCCTCTCTATATATATAGCTCTCACACCCATCTTTCTCTTCACAACCCTCTTTGATCTCCTCTCTTGATATATCTCTCTCGCAGATCTTCAGCGAAGAAGCTTTTGTTTTTGTTGCTCTACAAATGGCCAGTGTTGAGGTAACAATTACCTAAAACAAAACAAGTGATACATATGTATATATATATATATATATATATATATGTATGTAAACTAGTTAGGTTTGCTGTGCGGTTTTATAGCGATCATCGTGATCATCTTCATGCTGGTTTTTATAAGCTTTTTGACCCAGATGCTGATCATGCTTGTTTGATGTTTCCAGATTCTCTGACTTTCTTCTCTTTGATTCATTGATACAAAATTTCACCTGGGTCTACTTCAAAATAATCATGTATATATACATATATTTTCATGTTATCAGTTTTAAACAAAACGTGTAGTAGTTTTAGTTGCTTCTCTCTTCTCTTTCGTTTGTTTTTTTTTTTTTTTTAGTCATGCCTGATGAGTATTTACATACCTATACATATATGTATTGTCTCTGTATATGTATGTATGTATGTATGTGTAGCATAATTATGAAGGAAAACCAGTATAGAGAAGAAGTTTCTCTTGTGAAAATTTTCACTCTTAGCCTCCTCAAGGATAGGCTAGGGTTTAAACATTACTGGTTCTCTGATGTAAAAATTTTAGTTCTTATTTGATGGATCTAGCTTCATTGTTTAGATATAGATCATTATATATATATATATATATATATATGTATGTTGAGTTCATGATAATATCAAAATATGATCAATATTAACATCGAGAAGATCATGATCTCTTGTCTACTTCCATCATTTGGTTTTGGCACAAAAATCATTTTTGCAATCTGTTCTTTCTTAAAGGATCTGAATCGTGTGCGTGCATATACACACGTATACCCACACACAGAACAAAGCTCTGATTATATACTTTTCAAGATCCTATAGCTCACTGAATTATACTACAGTGAGCTTGTTTGTTTCATCGAGCTGGTTTGTTGTTTATTATATTATATGATTGATATATATATGTATATCACTGTACTCCAAAAATTATATTAATAAAAGAGAGATCGGATATTGCAGGTTGAATCAGCTCCCACAACATTACCAGAGAGCGAGGCGCCACCGGCAACCAAGCCAGTGGCTGAAGAGAAAACCACACCAGAAGAGCCAGTGGCTGCGGCGCCAGCTGAGGTAGAAGCCGTTCAAGAGCCAGAAGCACCAGCGGAGGAAGCTCCAGCTAGCGAGCCGGAAGAACCAGCCGCCGCGGCCCTAGAACCCGAATCTGTCCCCGAACCCGAACCCGAACCGGAAACCAAAGAAGTCGTTGAAGAAGAAGCCAAGCCCGAGGCAGAACCAGAAGAAAAAGGAACAGACGAAAAACCAGCAGAGCCAGTTGCAGAGGAGGAAGCACCGGTGACGGCGGATGCTCCGGCGGAGGAAGAGAAGCCAACTGAAGCTGAACCAGAAGCCAGCACAGAAGTTCCAGTGGAGAAGACAGAGGAATAAGCAGTGAGAAAATCAGAGAAGGTTGAGGAAGATCCATTTCTAGATTTCATTTCATTATTATTATCATTAGCTTTTCATGGTTTATGTTTTTCTTTTTCTTGAAGAATTTGAATTGGGACCCTTTTTGAATTTGGAGAGCTAGAATACGTTTTTACAGTACTTTGGGTCCATATATATAATCAGAGAACCTTCCTCCACATTTGCATATATAATATATATACACATATATATATATATATATAGCCATAGGAGAGGAAGGAAGTTTGTTTGAGGGTCTGGTATTTGGGATGTTAGAATGTTTGATTGATCTTTATTGGCTTCTCCAAGAAGAAGGGTTCATATGAGAGTTTGATGTTGTGTGATAATGGAGGTTTGATCTCTTGATTTTAAATAAAATGGTTTTGTACCATATCTTTTTGTTTCTGTTTCATGATTATTAAGCTTTCTATATTTATGATACATACATATACATACATATATAATGGGCTATACAATCATGCACTATATCGTTATGGGTTGTAATATATTTTATTAATTAGATAACTTACATATATCAATTATAATATAATTTTATAATAAAAACATATAAAAATTTAAATATCTAATCTTTTACAGAAGAAAAAAATATTAACTATCAGATCAAAGAATATTCACCAACAAATAAATAGTTATATCAAAACTTTAGATATAAAACAAGTGTAATATAATATGTTAATATTTTTTAAGTAAAAATTTTGGTATCAATAAGTGAGAAATTCTATCCGATCAGTCTAATTTTGGTGGGTCTATCTACAGTCATGGTTTTTTTTTTTTTTTTAATCTTGTGACAGTTTATACCCAGTGACAGTTTAAAACATTTTTGAGGACTACATGTCCCAAGCTGTAAGTAATTAGAAGTATAAATCTCAATTGGAAAAACCCAATGAAAAATTTCCTTCCAAGAAGATTTTGAGGAAGAGGAAGGGGATTTTACTCTGAAAATTTCTATGGACTCTGGATGTCATTGCATAATCTGTGTACTTACAGGAGACGAAGACTACTAACACCTGGCAGCTGCAACTAGCAAATCAAAGTCTATGGAAGCAAAGAAATTCTCCACATTGCTTCCAGCTTTATTTAAAGCTATACCTATATAGACAAATTGACCCAAAATGACAAAAACTGCAATGACATCACCATCTTCATCAAGCAAAGACACTTAACTACAACTTTGCAGGTCTAATCACAAAATCTGATGAGATTCTCCTATCTGTACAGCCTGAAGTACAAATGATCCTATGTGCAGTCAAAAACCATTTTTTCCTTTTATCTTTTTAACCCTGAATTCGTTGGATGCAACCAGAAATTTTACCATGTACCAAAGCTGCAACCAATGTGTTCTTGGGTTATGACATGCAGACGTTCGCTCATGATGGCCATGGAGGGGTAAGGTGGGAAGCAAATCCGATAAAAGCAGGTGTGAGATGAAGGAAGACGATCAATAGGATCTGAAGACATGTAAATGTAGAGTCTTGATGCCAAGCCACGAAAACCTTCTACTGGCAAATGCTTCACAGACGTCCAGAAGAAGAGAAGGATTCTTTTCTGCTCCGGCGACATTCCTCCAACAATCTGGAAGATTTGGAGTGAAAATATAAGTTAGTGTTTAATTAAAAACAGCTATTGCTTCTGCATCTATAAAACTGTGTCTTCAATCAATAGAGGTTGGCCTTGTTGATTGATTAGATCCTAAGCTCCAAGTATAGGAAAGCTAGTTTTGGTCTTCATCCCTTCCATCCTTTTTTTTTTAAATTAATGGGGAAGAAAACTAAGGCTATGTCTGAAACATATATAAGATTTTAAGTAACTAGTTTGCAAATCCATGCTTCAATTAAAAGATGGTGGAAATTCCCCCTAAAATGATAAAAGCTAGTCCTGATGCAATTTACATTCTCTCCTAGTTAAAATAAATATAAATTTATAAATAAATTTTGCACTTTTTTCATTCAGCTCCACATATGACTAAGTATGACTTAAGGCAACAAAGGACCCATTATCCATGTATAAAAAAATGGGTTATATATTCTTGTGAATATATCCAAAAAAAGCTACCTTAGAAAACCAACGCCTTTGCGCCTCCCCTATATTGCAAAGTAATACATATACTTGTTCTGCTGTCTCGAAAACCAGGAATTGCTTTTGAGTTATTACATGTAGACTGTATATTGTTTGCCTTTACAAATTAACCCCAAAAAAATCTACAAAGTACCCTAGACCCTCCTCATGAGAGAGAGGAACTGAATTGACCCTTCAACCAAGAACAAAGTTTCTGAACCAGGACCTCTAATCTTAGGGAAGATGAAAATAACACTCCCTTAGAACCTCGTCAATTTTCTCTTTCCAAAAGGACCCAAAAGATGGACTATGGAATGAGGGTATGCCAATTCTGGCAGTTCCTTTAAATCCAGATACCTTCCTGGCCCCAAAGCTCCAAAAAACTCTCCCACTCCCTAATACCTCCGCCTTGTATATTTATGTATTTGTTGCATCCCCCCTCCCCCCAACCCAAAAAATATGTATATGAGAAAAAATAATATAATAAAAAAAATATTCAGAGAACATCAAGATATTACAAAAACCAAACATTACAATTTAATATTATTTTTGCAAGTGTATGTAGGAAGTGTAAAAGAACATCATAAGGCTTGTGTATAGATAAAATAAACAAGTATAAGAAATAATGTAAAGATTTATGTCATCTAATCCTGATATAGGGTGCAATCATCAAAGTTCAATATGACATTAAAGAGAATGAGAATAAATATATATAAAATTAAAATTTACCGTACGTTGGTATTTTTTCCCCACTACCCTGTTCACTCTCAACAACCAGATTACAATTAAAACCCCTAGATTGTCAAGCTTCATCACATAATCATGAGGTCACAAAGCACCACATCAAATCATCAGGTACCAGTCACATGCCCCTTATAAAATAAATCAATGAAATTGCATAAAAAATTAAAACATCTCCTTAACCAATTTCAATTGAGGGAGAGTGGAAACAGAGAAAAATCAAAGAAGAATTGTAGGAAACAAAAATCTCTCTTTTTTTAATTTAATGATTATTTATAAGGGGCCAAATGATTGCCATATCCTATTCAATTTGACTAAATGGAGAAACCTCAAGGTAACAGAACACAACCAAAAAGAAGACAGAATTAGACTTTGGAAAGATCCCAAATACAATTGGTGAAACTGTAATTTCCAGTTTCTTTAATAAGATCTATAGGCTCAGAGTTAACCTATCACCTAAGCCATAAGCAATCAGAGAAAGAAACACAGGAGTAGCAGGCAAAAAGACAATTGATGATACATCAGAAGATGAACTTCCAACAGTGGGCTCTAACGTTTCATATTGATCAGGTGAAGCCCACAACATCAATGACTTAAGAAACCTCAATCAACC